GGTAGCTTTTAGTTTATATTACAGGAAATCAAAACTTAGTGCATAACAAAGTAGACAGTGGTCATTTAGTACTCAGTAATTATTACCCGATAATATATATGCATACAAACCTAGCAACCAGTCAGCATACAACACTTGTACCTGATTAAGCATGTGCCAGCCATTGCTAAGAGCATCATAAACAGGAAAAACAAATACGGAATGTGAGTAGGTCCCAATGAAAGCTATATAACACTAGGGGAGAAGCATGGCAAAAAACTTTTTGCTGCCTGTTGTGCCAGACAGCACACCCAGGGGAAGATGATGATCTGAGGACTCCATTGCTTCTCTTCCCAGCTGGCCACTGAGGAGAGTTTTCCCTTTCCTTTTCTTTCTTTCTCTCCCTTAGTTTCCCCTCTTCACCTCAAGGCAACTTTGAAGTTCACGTATGCCACAAATAAGTGCATATAAGTCTGTCTCACAGTCTTTTGTGCAATAACACTCACTGAGTGAGCAGAGCAAATCAATTGGCACAAGCACAAGAATATTCCATACTCCAAATTCAGAAGCATTTCATATGGCCTCCACATTATACAGATCCCTGTAGCAAGTCTCCAAAGTTCCTTGGAATTGATAAGAAATTAAACAAAATATGATATATCTACATAAACATATATGCAAAGGAGTGTGCACAACAGATCTACTGAGCTAAAACCAAACTTGATTTTAAACTGCAAGAATAGCCCATTTATCTAAGATAACAGTAATACCTATCACCACACTGTCTGATCATTTTTAACACTTGTATCCTCACACTACACCTCTACTTCTACCATTCTCGTAGAAACGGGGAATTGAGGTATGGATGTATCCGTGACGTGCTTTATGTCACAAAGGTAGTTTGGTGCAAGGCATAAAATTCAATCCACATCTCGTAGACATGGCCTTGGCATACAGGAATGCTTCCTGAAGAGGACCCTAATCCGTTCCATGTGTCTTTTTCAGCATGATAGATTGTTTTTATTCAGCCTTCATTTCTCACGGTTTGGTCTAGGAGCACAAGCACATAGCATTTACACATTTCCCTGGGATTATCTCAGAGTTTTCAAACACTTTTATCAGTTCTGTGCCTGTTTTACATGCACCTTCAAGTATTAATCCCTGTTTGAGGCTAGTGAAAGAGTTAAAGCAGTGCTTCACCAGAAAAATCATCATGCTCACTATATTATTATTATTAAAGGCATTTCATACAATAGCCTATTTTAAAATAATTATTTTTGTAGTAAACTAACCATGCCTGAGCTTGAGTAACTGTAAAGTTGCATGCAAATTTTATTTCACAACTAAGTGCATACATGACCTAGCAGAAACAAACAGTAATACAAACAAACAAACAAACAGCAGCGACCCAGAATCTGAACTCCTGCTATGCAATTAGACCAGATATTAGTATAATGGATCCAGTATTAGAGAACTGGACATGGAGAAGTGTCCATGTTTCCACATTTTTTGACATTTTTCCGTATAACTTTTATACTGTTTTTAGTCTACTAGCTTATTTGACGAAAGGAGGAACAGAGTACAGAAAAGAGAACCAAGCAGATGCTTAAATTTAAGGAAAAAAGAGCTACAGAACAGTTACTTGGTGTCCAGCTATGATATAAATGTGCAAGTGTAATTTAAAATAAAGTTATTCCACTTAAGTATTAAATCTCAGCTAGAGCTATATTTTTAAGATACAATCAACAAAAGCATATGAAACAATCTTGCAGCTTAAGTTCATAGCAGTAATTTAAATGACACAGCATGACAATATCAAATGAAATTAATAATAAAAAGGTGTAAGAATATTTACTTGCACTCTTAGAACACTACCAATTTATTCGTAACAAGAAGATACTACAGACAGTATATAACTGAGTAATTACTGAACTTCTCAACTTGCTAAGTAATGCAGCCTTCAAGCTCACAATAAGCCCAAGGCTGCAATAATCCTTCAGAAACACAGTGTTTCTCATGCCCTAATATTTAATTCAAACAAACTGTTTTGTAGTGCTCCCATTTCATCGATCCTTTTGCAAAGATAAATGAAGTCTCTAAATAACTTCTAAACTCAGTAAATATAGCTAACTTGTGTAAACGTAAGCCAAAAGAACACTGTGCGGGGCAAAGAAGAGCCCTAACCAACTATCTTTATAACTAAAATAGTTGTTAGGAGCTTTGATACAACTTTCAATTTTTAATTAAACGAGTTTAAGTAAATGAGTTAAATAAGGTTTGCCAAATCCTGCCTCGTAGGAGACATCTTATCTTAGGTCAAGTCAAGTTAACACAGAATTCCCCACTGAGGTCAATAAAACCAGAATTTTGACCTGCGCATTTACTACACAAGGAAGATCCAGTTCCAAACTGACTCATTAACACTTCCAATTAGCATGGTCAGGTATCTGTTTCACACTAGCTTACATCAACTGGTTGCATACATTTGCACACCTATTGCAGGCTTATGCTGCTTATACGTTGTTCTGTGGCACGTACCACAAGCCCTTAGTCAAGAATTAAAGCACTAGTGTGTATAACTTACTTCTATAATGAAAATGCAGTCAAATATCTACCCCCATGTAAAATGAAGTGTGTTCAACTTACTGAAATCAGACGAACTCATCTGTATTAGGTTTTCCAACTTGTGGATTCGTTGCCTAATTAAAGAGATATAAAGGTTTATGGTATTCATATAAATGAAAGGTATTTAACAAAATTTTAATTAGGTTTTAAACAGAAATACAAAGCAAGGAACACATCTGCTCTGAGAAACTTTACAGAAATGTAATGTGGAAAACCCCATTTGAAGAAGGCTACAGACACATCTGGTGTTAAGGAGTAATACTGGACAGCCTTTTTGCTTGTTTCTAAAACTTTAAACAATAACGATAAATTATCTAAATACCAAAATGGAGGGGAAAAAAATAATTATACAAACTCCACGCTCCCTTTAAGTGATCTTCCCACAAACGTAACTCAATCTCCCTCACATTTGACACCCAAATAAACCTGAATGATAGCCCGCACAGCGTACACTGAACTAATTCACTTATGAATAAGTACTAGGAAATTCTGCCAGCAGCTTTCCCCTTTTCCTGCTTAACATGGTCTACTGCTTAACTTGTGCACACATCACACAGTTAATAGCAACAAATATAGTACAGTCAAGGAAGAAAGCATCTTTGGAAAAAGCAAAACAATACAGTTTTGGAGGGGAGAGATACCATTTTTAAATAATTTGTTGCTAACTGCCACTACACATGAGAATAAAGAAAAGCTGTAACACGGCTAAGTATTCAGTCATATTCTGCAGTAACTAATTTTCGAGCGGTCATCAAGTATAAGCTTCACAGAGATAACAGGACACTAAACTGAATACATAAAAAGTTCAACTGCACAAGACAAAGACTTTGAAAAGGCTGCCCACCTTGCTAGGCTCAAATTATGAAATACTACATAAATTGAGGAAGGAGTTCTCTACCTGCCTTTTCTTATACAGTCTACACACTTACTACAGCAGGATTCAAAATAGGATGCTCGACTCCAACCCAGAGCGCACTAGTTCAAGGTTTAAAAAAAAAAAAAAAAAGCTACACATATACACCACAACTACATACACAAAACAACATACACTTGTGAAAATTACGGAGATCTCCAAAAAGATCAAAAAAACGCAGACCTGTAACCTGTATATTATAGGGTAAGCACATTAAAACTACCTCCCTCAGCTTTTCCTTCCTTCAATAAAATCTACCTAGGATTACTTTCAGCCATTTAGTTCTTCCTCAATGCTGCATTTCGAGATGAATTTTTCAAGTATTTCAGCTGTGTAGAAAGGAAAGAAGTCTAAGATTGGACAACTTTATGGAAGGGGGCTGTTGAGGCTGAAGGTTAGAGAGAGTGAATCAGAAAAGAGCCACAGACAAAAAAAAAGAAAAGAAAAGAAAAAAGGAAAAACAATTTCCTACTGAACGTTAGAAGACAATACAGTGGCCTGATAAATAAAAGCACAAAGCAGGCATGATAAGCATGACAAAGACGTCCTCTGTTAAATAAGTCACTTAATTTCTTTTTGCATTTGTACCTCAAAGATTGATCCTCACTGGTTGTTAACCATTAAACCATTTCATTTTCAAATAAATACCCTCTGAGAGTTAAACCAACACCTCTGTTTACTAAAGAAATACATTGTCTCAACACACCCAGGTAAACGATTACATAATTGTTCTTCAATTTTAACTTACATATCTTCAATCACACTAAAAAAAATTACAGCTAAGAGTTCTGTTTACTGAGCAGTTATTCATTTTTTAATTGCAGTGATGTCATTATATTATTATTAAAATATTCATAAAATATTACATAATTATCCTTAATATTGTGAACATGTAAGAAAAAGTATATTTATAGACTAAGTTTCCATAAGCATGCATTTAAACATAGATATTATCTGTAGTTTATAGACTGAACTGTTTCCAGTCACCCGGTCCTCAAAGAGTACTTTCTTGTACTTTCACACATGATTTCTACACTGGAGAAACAAGATTTCCTACTTTCAGTTACCAATTGGTCTATAAATGAAAGTGTTCCATTTTATGACTAAACAAATGAACTGAAAGAGAGAACATTTTTGCAGGGACTTGTCACACCAAAAGACAGCTTAGCAACCAAACTCTCTCAGCCAACAGATAGCTGAAATCCGTCATGTCTACCCGTTCAGTGGTTTTATTCTTGAAAGCTTTTCCAATACGTACAGCTTGAATAACTTAAACCATAATAAAATATATTACACCCTATATTTGTGTCTATTACAATTAGAAGATAACTACAGATTGGGATTATTTTTGCAAAGAAAAATAGATTTGATTCCAAAGATCAATTACATTGCTGTTTGATTGCCCAAGGTGGTCAATTTTTGTTAATAAACAGATCAGATAGGATGCTGAAAGGGATCTAGTGCTTCTTTTAATTGTCTTCCTCTCTCTCTCACTACCAAGGAAAAAAACCAACCCACAGTCAAGACAAAATCTGCTTTAACAACCAAAACCAAATAATACTAGTTTTAAAACACCTCTTGTCATTTATGTCATCATATTTCGATGGACAGATCCAATTAATGACATTTCACACCATGCCCTTGGCCACACCCTCAAGGAATGGAAGAATCCACTAAAATCATAGGAATGATGGAACATATCACATATATTTGTGTATTGTACAAAAGCTCCTTTTCCGACCACCCTCTGTCTGTGCTGTACATCCTGAGGATTATCAGCAGCAAAGAGGATTATCAGTGATCTGTGTATTTGCATTGACCAGATTAAACATCTGCATTGAATTAGTCAAACACCGAGTAACTGTATCTGAAGAGATTGCTGAAGCTATGCTAATCCAAGCAATTGAAGAAAATGCTGCATTCAATATTTACAGTATTTGATTTTTAACCTCTGTTTTTTCCTTTATACATACATACAGGCCTCAAACGACTTGAAATATAGCACAATCTCATTTAAGGAAACCTGATGCTATCTATTCACGCACTCTGAAGCTAGACAAATAACATTACTATGCCTTCTAAATTAATCACAAAATTGTTTAGCAAATGTATTTATCAATCTTTATCTGGCTGTAGCTAAGATATGCACTACACTGCTTAGAAATGTATCAGTAAGTCGCATAATATTACAACACTATGACACATAATTTATTTCTTCCAATAATTCCATTTGTGTGTTTCCCACTACTTATCAGGGGATCATACAGATAACACAGTCTTTTTAGATACACGGCCCACAGTTTTACCTCAAGGGCTTAACAAACTATTTTAAATTTCTGACCATAAAATTATGAAAATGGATACAATTTCAGAAGTGTATTAATCATAAAATACATTAATGATATCATACCTAAGTAATCCAAAGAGAAGTCCACAGGATTCCACTAATGCCATTTCAGTAACCCACTGAAAGCCAAATATTTCCACTGTATCTTCTTCACAGTCATTCGGAGAAGGATCTAGTCTCAGCAAAACCCTGTAAAATAAAGTTAGCACTATTCACAAATTCCTCAGTAATAAGCCTAAGGATACAATGTCTACAGCTGACTTTCCTATCATTGCTATGTTATCAATATATCAGCAATATATATACTATAGATAGGAAAGGTTATACCTTTTGTAGTCATATATTATCTAGTATATAAAATAGGGAAACTGCCAGCTTTAACAGCATAAAAATATTGTCTATTTTCAGGGCACAGTAAGTTTTAGAAACTGCAGAAAAAAATAGCAAGCTACCACTCTGAAGCATCTTTATCCTTACAGAGGGGCCCATCTGAGGCATGACATGCAGTTTGTCCTTAACAGAAGAGGCTGCCACATTAGCTAGTGCTCTCCACCGGAAATGTACATTTGGAATCTTTCTCAGTGTATGTATACCACATGCCAAAAAACTAACTGTAGAACAAATATTTGCTTTTTTGTATACTTTTAAGAATATTTGTACAGAGCATTTATTGACAAAAGCATATGAATAAAAGTACAGCTTTAGGCAGCTGAACTGATGAGACATACTAAACATGACTTCATTATTATAACTTATTCTAATACTCGGCCAGGACTACCCCATGCTCTAGTCAAAGAAAGTCAGAATTCCTGCTTTACCTCAAACTGGAGAAAATCAGGCATGTGAACAGATTGTTGAAATATTCCAATTTTTCTGTATATTTTTCCTAACATGCTTTCTGAATATACTAATTATGTAAATACAAACATATTTCATTTAGGTGTTTCAAAAAGATTGTTTAAAAAAATAATCACTGCAAGTTACATTCTATAATAAAAACAAAGACATCAAAACAAATTTTGTCGGCATTTTTCTCCTGACTTTCATAAAATACTTCAGTGTAGATTAAGCCATATTCACTATGATGCAAGAAATGTTATTTCTATTTTAAAAATAATGCATTGGGCAAGCACTTGATTTGCATTGTATTACACAGCAATTCGCGTTCTCCCTGAGCTATGCGTTGTGATCAGTTCAGTACTCAGAGGCAGAAAGGGCATCTTATAACACCTAAAACTCACTCGTGATAACTGCCTAAACATTATCCTGTTTCAAAGCCTAGAGTAATTTATATCCAGTCACTATCATTCCAGGTAACAGAGTCAGAGGAGTCTCTCACACACAGGCTTTTCCAAAAGTTTACAATCCAAGTAGATAAGGTGACTAACGGGCAGGAGAACATAATTATCACTACAGTCATGATTTGGGAAGCCTGCGTATATACAAGCTCCTGAGTGAGCTTTCATATGAAATGGTTTTTGTCATGCAATGCCTCTTTGCCAGTGTGGAATCCGCTACTGATACGTTCATGCGGATGCAGGCTCTCTCATTCCTTTACTGAACACTAGTCTTAATGAATGTGCTCTGATCAAACAAAAAAACAAGATAGATAAGCTGGGGATTGGCAGGGGATGCCCCCATTAAGGCTTTATACAAAAGGCTGTGAAATCAAAGGTTATAAAACCAAAGTAACAGTGCAAAACCGTGAGAACTGGCAAGATAAATGCAGAGCAGGTACATTTAGACGTATCAATGTAAAAAAACAAAAAAAAAAACCCAAAAAACCCTACAGTACTATGAAAGAAAGAAAGATTAAGCTATTGTAAGATAAACAAGACAACCAGTATCAGTAAATGGCACAGAAAGCTAACTCGGATCACAAGCAGAAAAGAAAATATTACCTAATCCAAAGTAACATTTTAGAATCTCATAAAAAAACACTTATTTGTTATGCACATGGCTTCTGAACCTTAAATCCAAAATGCTAGTAAAGAAAGCTTTAAGAAATACAGTGATAAAGCTACTAAGGACACGCCAAGGGAAGCTAAGCAGGGCAGCCATGTTTCTGTCACACAGGAAACAGAGAAATGGCCAGCATCCAGGAGAACACACAAATAAAAAAAAGCACTTCCACAGCCTCCTCAGAAATTTAAGGGTATGAATCTTGAATGCTGTAACCCAACAGGGCAATTTTCGAGCATTCTGGCTAGAAGAGTTCTATTAAGACTGTAACACATCATTCACACCACCAAAGGTAAGTTCACAAAGCTAGGACCTGGACCTAGAACAATGTCCAAAGCACTGTATCAACAAAACTGCCCTTCCTGCTTTGGGGCATCACCAAGCTAATCTCAAGGTCATAAGAACTGACTGAAGAACTGATTTGGAGACTCTGCCAGCATTTTGAGACACCAAACACCTGTGGAAAGAACATTATAAATGCGCATTATGTTTGTAATTCAATATAAACCTACCTCTTAAGAGACCCACTTGCTAAATAAGACTCTGAAGAGAAGCTTCTCCCTCCATTTTGGTTGTCAAAAACACAGGAAAAACAAGATGGCTTGGAGTTCTCATTCTCCACTTCCATTGCGACCTCCAAGCTTTCAGTGAGGAATAGGGGTGTGAAGGAAGCCATAGAGTCATCATTCATTGTTTTCACTTGTTCTAGAAAAAATAAACAAGAATAAATAAAACTCAGTATTTTTACAAACAAATGTATCACTATTACATTTTCCCATAATCCCTCAACCCAGATGAGAATGCAGATCAGCTTAGCTGTAGTGTGAAACTAACAGGACACCTACGATCAAAAAAAAAAAGGCAGAGATGGCTTCACACCTTGTCACATACTTCTGCTACTTTGTGCAACAATGGATTTTGTCCTCCCCCATGGCAACTCGTTCAGGGAGTTAAATCAGCAAAAAACCGACCCTACAAAGGAACAAAACAGATCCATCTTCTGCTGGTTTAGTCCTCTGAATTCACTAGTTATGGGGTCAGAATACCACTAAGGTAAAATAGGAGGCAGGAACAGGTGCCATGAAAGAGAGCATGGGTGAGCTAATTTCAGTCGTACTTAGTTCTCTGAACACATTAGCTGCACCATGAAACAACATTCTGCATTAAATGCTCCTAGCTGTCCATGACTTTAAGGTAACATTACAGCAGAAGTTCTTTCTAAGCAACAGCAAATACACCCCCAGAAAAGTTATGTAACACTGAGATGCTGAATTACTGAAGTTGGCAAAACCACTGTAGAGCTAATTTTGATGTAGTCACGTTATAAGTTCTTGCAAAAATCCAACTTCCCAGGAATCTGCAAAAGGGAAATAAAACAAAAGGAGAAGGAAGACTGGGTCAAAAGGAAATCCACTGTATACTTGATAGTAGTGAACTAATATTTTAAATAACATACTGAAAGAGCAGAACTAGGCAAGAGATGCCACAGAGTTCTATAATAAACTGCAAGCAGTATAATTAAGACTATTAACTTTAAATCAGGTTTTCAATTTCATTGCTGACAGCTTACGTTACTGTTCTTGCATGAACCAATATACTCTGTCACGAGAGGTTCATAATACAGAAGCTTGACTAGAAAGTGAGCTCAATAAAATAAACAAACACACACATCTCCTGTCTCACCTTCCCCCCTCATTCACGCTCCTGCTGCGTAGTCTGCTGCGCAGCAGAAGCGGCGGCTACGACTGAAAGAACTGATGAGTTTAGCGGTCCAGTTTACAGAAGGCCCCTATAAACAGTTGGGTTGGCACAACAGTCAAGGCAGAAACAAGCAGCTAAAGCAACTCCCCAGATCAGCTTCTCTGACCAGGACAGTAGATCCTGACATTGCTGCTGTGGGTTTCAGAAGAAAGGCTATTCAATTTAAGCCATCTAAATCAACCCAAATGACAGAAAGCACTGAATAAGTACAAACTTAGGTTGTCAGTTCAAATTCATTACCAAGTTCTTGAAGTAGTCTTCCCCGAGTGACTTAATGTCACTTAAAGCACCATCTTTTTGCACTTTAAAAGCGTATGCTCAAGCAAAGCCTGAAACGATACCCGTTGTACAACTATTCCCTGTTGCAGCATCTCATCAGCTACCGGCGCCCAGTTTTGACCAGCGTTTTGAATATCGAAACTCAATCGCAACTTTGAAAACTGCAGTAAGACAGGACTGTTGCCGGCCAGGCTGAACCAAGCTAAGGGAACCCCTTCACAGCTTTTGCCTAACGTACCAACCCCCTGTTTCAGCAGAACAAGACGGGGCAACAAAGATTTTTATAAAAGCCGTTCCCTACTATGAGCTACACGCGCATAATGGCGGAGCCGCCCT